GTATATAGTTCTTTTTCTGCATTGGAAAGAAATACCAGTGGAGCAAAATTCTTGTTTCAGATATGCTGCGCTGAATAACTGCCCCTAAGAATATGTCATGATCTCAGCTGTAAAGTAGGTTGTATTGTTCTTCCTCTGTCTATATCGAACACAGTTTGGAGCCTCCCTGTGCCAAAGGACACTTGCCAGCCTGACAGCTGGGTACAGTTGATAGTTGCCTTCAGTCTGGCTAATAGGATCTTGTTTTCCAGATTAGGAAATTAGTTGTATCAAGGGCCCTACTTCCAAATGGGGCAAGAGGCTTAAGCTTCAGGAAAGGATGGGCTACTCCTGCGTTTCATGTAGTGAGCAGGAGAAAAAGGGGTGCACTCTGAAAGCAGCTGAAATCTGACGTGATCGTTCTTAACTTTTTACTAGAATCTTTCATGTTATCAGTATAGAAAGCATTTCATCTGTGTAGGCTGGCGCTCTGATCTCCTGATGTGGGTTACTGGATACAGAGACACCTCAGACAAGTAATGCTGCAGAAAATACGGCCGTGTCTTGCTGGTTTTGTGAATGACTACTGTTAACCATTTGGCTTCTTGTTCTTACAAGGTGGGACTGTGTGAAGGGGAAGCATTAAAGCACAAGGCTCTCCCTGTCTTTAAGTCCTTAATTTAAGTCCTCTGAGTTGTTCTAAACCATTCCCGTTGAGGTCAGTGGCAAAACTTTTCTTTTAATCAGTTCAGGATTAGACCTAAACCCCGCACTCGTTTTGATAGAAGAAATCTGAGAACGTATTATTTCTCTTCCTAAATATCAAGTTTTAAAAGGGGATGAGTTGGGGGGAGGGTTGTGTATTGCTCGCCGTGAACTGAATTTTCTTCTGCAGGAAGTCGCTTTTCTTCAAGGCCAGAGATAAATAGTGAAATGCTGGAAATTTCCTAGGCCCTGCCTTTCAGCTGTCTAATCGTGTTCTTTGCAGAGATGCTTAAGACTCTCTGCTATGCGCAGTGTGCTTTAAATTGTCAGTTTGTTCAGTAACCTTTTTCACACTGTCTTGTAATATGATAAAAGGGGGTCACCGTTGAAACTAGTAGCACATCATTTTAGGCTTGATCCGAGAAGATACTTCATTTTTTCAGTGTTGTCTGCCCATGGAGCGCCATGCCACAGGACGCTGGAGAGAAGCTCAGTTGGACAGAAAGCAGTCTGGATAGTTCCATCAGAAATGATTTTTCTATTTATCCTTGATAGGAAGCATGTAATCATACCTCATGATGTTTCAGGGCAGTCGCTTTTCCCATAGGATCCAATATATGACACTAAGAATAGATTAGCTCTCTTTTTTTGTTATGGGAGAAGTAATTTCACTTTTGTCGTAATGAATTACTAGTATGGCTAGTAGTCTGATCAGAGTAGATCTTCAATTAAAAAAGCTACAGAGAAGCTGGTGAGCAGAAATGACTGTTCAGCTCCCCCCTTCTATTTAATTCGATGTCACTTTGCTGTCAGGTCCTTTCCCCAGTTAATTTTCTTCAGCTGCATTCCTCTGCAAGTAGCAAGTCCTTTGGCTGTAAAATTAAAATAGAGGAGGAGAAAGGCAGCAATGTCTGAATCATTTTATAAAGTCATCTTGATCTTATCTCCAGCCCTTTCCGCCCAAACCCACCAAGCTCTTTACTGAGCTGTGTGCCTATAAATAGAACAGCCGCTCTCGTGCAGAGATGGGCAGCTCTGAACCAGAGGCTTGTTTTCTCTGAGCAGTGCGTGCATGCGAGAGCTCGCTTCTCACTGGCCTTTCATGTCTGAGTTATGTAGCTGTGAGGTTTTCTATAGATAGAGGCTGGCAAATGACATAAACTGCTACTTAGGGAGGGGCAAGGTGACCTCTGGGATTGTTGCCTTTTGGTTAAAAAAAAAAAGAGGGTTCTGTTTAAAAGAGGAATGGAGGAATGCACGACTTGTGCAGAGGTGAGTGAGCCCTGCCGAGGTGAGGGGAGCCGCCTGATGCGCGGCACTCGGGAGCCGAGCGTGGCAGGCGGGAGCTGTGGGAGCTGAGGGAAAGCAGAGGCGTTGTTTTGCTGCGAGTTACTGTTCTGGTGGGCTGGGCAAGAGTTTGAGCAGCCAGAGTGCCGCTGACCGAGCTTGGGGAGCGCGGGGCTCTGGCTGACCCCAGTTCAAGCATATCTGTGAATAAGCGTAGCAACAGAGCTCTGAAATCTTCTGCAAGTTTCTATTTTTTGATCAGACTCCTGGCTGACTTGATATGTTTGGGCTTTGCATCCTGGGAGTCTTCCCCAGGATTTTTAATTCCTCTCTGACTTGCAGAGTTCAGTAGCTACTTTCTCTCTCTCATTTTTTAATTATTAGTGGTTTTGTCCAAGGAATGCAAACGATCACTCCATGTTTCTGTCTTAATCTGGAAAACTTGCCACTTTCCCATTTTCTTCCCTATAGAAAGTGAACTGCAGAAATGTGTGATTTCTTTAGCATGATAATTTAGATGCTGTTGCTTTACATTTCTCTTTGATACTTAGGTGCTGGAGGTTAAAGTAACTCATCAGATAGACATATATGTATATATTCTAGTAGGACTCCGCAGAGTTTGGCAGTGCTGTTTGTTCCACTTGGCAGATGGGAGATGGAGACACGCAGAGTGAAAATTGCTTTATTGGGATCTCGTAAAAAGTCCGTGGCAGAGTAGGAGCTTGAATACACCTTTCCCAGTTCCAGACGAGTGCCTTCAGCTCTGGCCTCTCCTTCAGGGTCGTTTCAGCAAGGGATGCTGTTGGGTCAGTCTTTGAACTCCATTTTCTCTTAGCTGAAGCTTCAGATTAAGATCATGGCTGAGTTTCAGATTCTTTGCGTAGCACCAGCTCTAGGTTAGTTTAACATCTTGTTTCTGGGTATCGCTATAGTGTGTTTAACTTCTGGACCCTAAAGCCGCTCCCAGATGCCTTGTGGCTTCTTAGAGTGTATTCCTACTGCTGTGTCCCTGCTGTGACTTGTGGAAAACGAGTGCTAAGATGTCTTTCAGCTACCGCTTCAGAGTTGTGGGGAGCTGATGTGGGAGATGGCCATTTTTTGAGAAGAGCTTAGTCTTCGATCGTGCATTTTCATTATCTCTTTTCATTCTGCTGGAAATACCGCGGAGTTTGGCAATTCCTGGTTGAACCAGGCACACTAAGTTGGTATTTGCCTGAGCACTGACAGGTATTTCTGCCAGTGAGCAGGTGGCTTTGTGAAACAGAACATGGGGAGACGGTTAGATTTGGGGTTCGCTAGCCTCTGAGTCGGCCAGGTCCCAGGCTCCAAGGTAGATGATGTTTCTTTTGGAGGAGATAGGGGAGCTCTCACCCTTTTCTCTTTCCCAGCACAGTGAGGAAGGCATATAGTGGCTCCTGTGGCTGGCAGCTCTCTTTCAGATCTGGGGGTATGTGGGAGCCCAAAAAAAATTTGTTGTGAGTAGAGGCATCACCATGGTGGTCCAGGCCCTATGATCTCTCAGGCCAGTTTGAGGATGGCTCAATCTAGCAAGAGAGAAGCATGTATTGTCAGATGGATGTTTCTTCTTATAGTCAGCATTTTTTTCCAAGTGCTTTTTGAGGAAACTTTGAGCTTGGCAAGGGCCAGTGTGTGTGGAAAGTATTAAAATTTGCAGCTGTTTCAAAAAGGAAAGACCCGCATTAGAAATATATATAGCATTTTAAAAGCAAGTTTAGTGCCCTGGAAAGGATTTCTAAAACGAACTAAACCCTGTGGATCCGTAAGAGTATTTATTTTGTGCTCTGTAGTAGCCTGGCAGTGTACATTTAACACTGTGTTTGTGAATTAATTGATACTCATTGGTGACCTGACTGTTACAAACCCAAGTTACACTGAGACCTCTGGTATGTTAAAGCTGTGTCGTTTTCCTGGCATCAAGATACAGAATAACCTGTCTTACAAGATTGTCAGACCATTTGTTTCCTGTGTTTTAACTGTGTGTTTATTGCATTGGGCTCTGTGAGCAAGAAATGGGTTCCTGGGGGCCGTTTCTTGGGGAGAGAAGTTGGTTTCTCGTGGTACTGAGGCATGACGTAGCACCGTTTGCAGTTCCTAGGCAATACCTTCTATCACTAATTTGGGGCTGAACCCTCAGCTATGACTTTTCTGCCTTTGTCTTTCTAAGCTGCAGTTTTGGAGATTATTTTCATGTAGCTGTTGGTATTCAAAATCTGTCCTCAGTGAAGGAATCAAATGTATTCGACGAAGTAGAATGAAGTGCATGTGGATTAAATACATACCCCTATGTATGCATAGTATGTGAGTGAGCATATGGGATTGTGTATGCTGGTATGTCAATCTAGTTATAAAGCAGTTAAAAAAAAAAAAAAAAAGGCAGTGTGCGTAGACAGTTTTGGCACTCCAGCCCTGGGAAATGGCAGCCAGCCAGAGAGTACTGAGGCAGGGCCAAGACTATCTGAAGAATACCAAATGCTGAAGTTGGATATAGCTCCTTCTTCGCTCTAGTTTCACTCTTCATCCTCTGGGCCTGCAGCTTGCCAGCTCTGTGCCAGGTAGATGCTGCTAATTTCACAAGGCAGAACTGGAGATAGGGACAGATATGCTGTGGTGTGTATGTGCTTGTAATCAAATGTCAATTAAATGAAAGGCACAATTAACCCGCGACTGAAATCTGACCTCAGTGAGTTTAACTGTTATGCTCCCTGAGTCATTGTTAACTTCGAAATGCTCATTCAGTCATAAGTTATCTTTTTTGGTATCGTGATAGCACTGGAGACAAGGATAAAACCGCACCCCAGTGTGGATTATGCATTGTGACGGTTTAATCTTGTTAAGTTTGCTCGCTTATGTTGAATGAATTTGTTAAGCACTTCCAGCAGAGGGCACTAAGATTATTGATCTCAAACTCCAGCCTTTTTTGGTACGGGTATATAGTGGCAGAGCATAAAAGATGCCTCTAAGTAAAATATATGCTTCACCCCTCTCCCCTCCTTGTTTTGTAGACTATCATAAAAGAGGGGATGCTGATGAAACAGACCAGCTCCTTCCAGCGCTGGAAGAGACGGTACTTTAAGCTGCGAGGACGAACACTCTACTATGCAAAAACTGCTAAGGTAAGGTCTTGACAATACATGTGAACCCAAGGGAAGAAAGTCAGTGGTGGAGCTTTTGGAGGCAGATGGGTGTCTGTGAGAAGACAGCCCTCAGTAGAGAAAAGAGCACGTGCTCTGAAAGCACCTGTCTTCAGGTTTTGTAGCTACTAGAAGATCCCTGTGTTTTGCCTCACACTTGGAAATCCTTGATTTTTAAGTAAAGCATCATGTGATACTGTTTTTTCCACAGTTTTTTCCCCCTTGGTGCATTTTAATAGGGAACGAGCTCTGAATCGATAGAAGCTGAAAAACAAGGGAGAAAATATGAATGAAAAGAGGAAATGGAGGAGACAAGCAGGGCTAGAATTTAACACATCAGAGCTGCCATGCATCTGGTTTAGTACATTGATAGTCAACTAGATATAAATCTGTCTCCTTTCACAAGACCAAAGCCTACAATTTTTCTTTTAAAATAATCCCTTAATAAAAATAAAGTCATTGCATTCACTGACTGAAGACAGGCAAGTGTGAGCACCACTGTATGGAACTAGACTTCCAAGTCCTTCATGTTGTTGGTGCTGGTCCTTTCCTTCAGATCACAAAAGGCTGTGATGGAGTGTGCTAGACAGACATACAGGCATGTCCCTTTGGGTCTGTTGGTTATACATTGGATTTAATAATTCATTGGGGTTTTGGATTTTTTCTTTCCAGTCCATTATTTTTGATGAGGTGGATCTGACAGATGCCAGTGTGGCAGAATCCAGCACTAAGAATGTCAACAACAGTTTCACGGTAGGATTTTTTGCGTTGTTTTCTATTCTTCTTGGATCTTTCCCCCACATCCCTTCTCTTTTGCAAAGTTTAAAAACATCTGAACAATCTTCACAGCCTCTTTCACTAAAAAAAATATTAAAAAATTACAAACTTATTTTTCCTTACAGCAATCATAACTCATCTCCACGTACATGGGAAATACCTTGGGTCACTACGTATGGTGCTAAAACTTTGCATTCAGGGATTTTCTTACCTATAAGCTAGGAGGGTTTGATAGAATCCATTTACACAGTAGGACAGAAAAATCTGTTCTGCTGAGGGAGTTAGGGGTGATGCTGATGTTTATGCTGGAGATCTTGCTAAAGGAATTTAGTTTTCCCTTCAGGCCTTAAAATATGTAAACCTCTTTCTCTGACTTTATTTACATGTGGCTGTATGTGTGTTTGTATATACACACTATATATAGTGGCAAAGCAAAAGGAAGAACAAAAAAAAGTCGCACAGAAGTGACTGTGGAATTGGTTTAGGACACTTGTTAGATGTACTAAGTATTTGCAGTCTGGAAACGTGGTGGTGTCACTGCTTCGTTTTCTCCAGGCTTAATAACTAGCAGAAAAAATGATTGTATTTCTGAGGTGCAGGTGTTCTCCCAGCTCCATTTTGGGGGAAACACCTGGTGTGCAGAAAAAAGCTATAGACAGCAGCCATGCAGGGCGAGAGTCAAGCAGCAGTGTGAGCTTTGGAGTTGGCTGGCAGCAATAACCTCCGTGCAGCCTCCGAAGGGCTCAAAAGGGAGGAGAGAGAAGGGTGTGGAGAAGGAGGCAGTGTTGGTCTCAGGCAAGGTGAAGAGGGGAGCAATCCAGGTGGAGGGAGGAAGCTGATCCTGCAGGATGGTGACCTGCTGGTGGTCACCAAGACTGAGCAGTATGCCTTGTGCAGCAGTAATGACGTGCTGCTTTCAACATCTAGCAAAGGATGTTTCTATTATGTAGCTGTAGCTTTTTTCTTTGCCTGAGCAAAGCAGCTATGGGATCCACCCTATGCCCAGATGAAACCCCAGCGCCATCTCAAAGTTTGAAAATACTGTCTGCATTGATAATTGGACAAGTAGGAGGTCTGTCTGGGTCTGATAGTAAGGTGGGTCTGAGTCTGATATCAGGTGTCAGTGTGTGTGCATAGAGAGAAGGATTCTGCAATGATTTCAGTAGGGGATACATTTTCAAGAATGTGAAGTTACTTACCTGTTAATAAAGCATTTTCTCTTGGGTCTTGCTTCAGTTTTCCCATATGTACGTAAAGGCTGATTTTTCAGGTAAGCAAGTGTACTGTTACTGTTTTACTTATTATTATAGTTGGGAGAGATCTAATCTCCGTCAGAGACACTGAATGTCGGGATAGGAGGGAATAGTGTGTTTGCTCTCTCAGATTGCCCCATCTGAGTCCAACAGTGACGAGTTACTTCCATGACTATAGTATCAGGCTCTGCCAATCCCTGCCTTTCCCAGGGGCTAAAGAGTATAGGATGACTTTGACACTCAAGTAGCAGATACAGTTTGCACTGTCTCCAGCTGATCATTGTATCATGAGGCTCAGGTAAACTTCAGGAAAAGCATCTCTCCTCTTGATTTCTGTCTACTCTGTCTATCATGGCTTACAGAGGGGTTTGACTGTGGTTTACCATGAGCTATAAAAATACTTAGAGAATCAGAAGGTTGCCTAGTCTTGCTGCTGTTTGGTCTGCCACATCACTGCCGTCAGTGCTTTGGATTCCTTGCAGTCTTGCCATTTTCTCTTGGTTTTCTTTGAGAGCACTCTCAAAGAAAACCCTGTATCCTCCCTGTATCTCCTCAGCTCGGTTCCTTTCTGAAATTCAGAGTTCTTAGATGCATTTTTTTCCTGTTTCAAATAAGTGGGACTCACTCTTGAGTTTTTATCCTAAACCGGAAAGATCCAACATTTGGTGTTGTATAGCAGAGACAGTTATTCTGGAGTTTCAGTGTTCTGATTTTCTTTTTGTTTTTGTTTTTTCTTCAATGGAGACTGGTAGTTTTGGATTTGTGAAGGAGTGGTTTCTTTCTGAGGAAACTTATCCTCTGTCCAGGCATCTGTACTGCTTAATGTTTAGATTCTGCAGGTCAGGTTGGGTGAATGACACTCTTAAGGTACTAACAAAGGAGGCGGGAAACAAAAACACTAGATAAACCACTTAGAGGAGCAATGTGGATCCAAAGCAAAGAGGTGATAAGGGGTGACCACTCAGAGGAGAAACTGGTGAAAGGGCAGTGGGGAGCGTGGGGAGGCAGCACCGTGAGAGAAGAAAACCAGAGCACGGAGCCAACAAAGGTTATGTTGCATAAACAGAGGAATAAGGTTAAAAAATACAACTGCCAGTAAACCTTTTACATAGGATGTAAGTCTGACAGCTAATTTGTTTGCTGTCAGCAGGCAGGAGAGAGAGAAAAATTAGTATTAAGATGCAGACCTCTTCCTCTAAAAAGAAGAGTGTGTAATATGGGTTCCACTGTTGTTTACTTAGTTGATCTTGCATAAATTTGAGTGTATCCTGTTGCAATGGGGACAGTTTTTGGGACTGCTACCCGGAGTTAATGGATATGTGACTATAGAATGGGCTGGGAGCATGTGACTAGGGGCATCTTTGAGCTTAAGATGTTGTACAGCTCTGTCCCCCGAGAGGTGTAAGGAAAAGCTTTATGTTTAGCTATTGTTCCTTTAGGTCAGGCAGCGTGGCTGCAGAGTTATTTAGCAGGAAGCCTCTGGGAACAAATCATTAGCAGCCCCACGCCAGGTGTCTCTTGTCTCAGGAGGACTGTAGATGTAATATTTGCTGGTTCTGTCACATCTCTGCCATCTCTGTCCTTTTAAGTCATCTGTCTGCAAGGTAAATTCTTTTGGGATATCTGGGCTGTAAGTCACTGGTTCTTTCCGTGTATCATCCTTTAGTACCGGGTTTACAGATCTCTCACCAGTGGATTTTCCTAGGGCTGCTGTCTTTCACAGGGCCTTAGAGAGGATCTTGTGTGCTACAAACTCAGTGATAACCATGTTGTCCTCATACTTCAGACCCATTTATTTCAAAGAGGGTGGTCAACTTTTAGCCTGGATTCTTGCCATCAGTGTGTGCCTACATTTGTACTCCTTATGAAATAGAGATCAGCAGCATTGGATGGGTGAGGTCAAAGCCTGACCCTGACTTCTGAGCAGAGCTTTCCCAGCCATACCCTCAAAGCCTCTTGTAATTTCTAAAAAGCATATAATTTGGGATCACACTGGGCACATTGGGTGTTCCCAGTGAGACTTCAGCTGTTTCCATGAACAGTTTTTTCTTGGACAGCGCAATTCTGCAGTAACTTGATTGGTTGATGTGCCTATCTAATGCATTAGCCTGCAGTTGCTTTAGGAGCATTAAAACAAAATACGCCATGAGGATGAGTTCCATACTTCAAACCTGGAATAGTTTTTTCTCTGGATCATGCAGGAAGCCTGGTTTTTGGAGATACTTCTCTCAAAATGACTGCTTTACTTGTGTCATGGACCTGAACCATCCAGCATGCCCATTCTCCCCTACGAAGCCTGTAAGGTTTGGGGTGGCAGCAGTCTCTCTATATTGTCTGTTGCTCAGGCCAACACTTTGCCACCACAGCTATCCTCTCAAGAGTCTTTGGAAGGACTTTGGGTCTTCTCCTTAGGCCCTTTTTGGTGAATGTTTGTATGGTGATCTCTCTATTGTCTGTTGCTCAGACCAACACTTTGCCACCACAGCTATCCCTCAAGAGTCTTTGGAAGGACTTTGGGTCTTCTCCTTAGGCCCATTTTGGTGAATGTTTGTATGGTGAACAAATTCTTACTCCTCAGGTTGGTGTGTTGGCCGAAGATCTGCTCTTTTCTAGAAGGTGCCAACTGAATTAAGCCTGCTGCCTTCAGTGCAATTGGCACAGCTGATGGAGTTCTTCAGCTTATCAGTTCATTGACCCTTTCCTGCCTTGTGCAGCATTTATATAAAGCTAAAGGGGAAAAAAATATCTGAAATATGTGTTCTTTAATACTAATAAACAACACCTGTCGTCAACAGGAGAGGGCCTAGGAAGGACATCAGATCTTTTCAGGTACATATTTTGTGTTTTAGTATGATTCTCACATGGTGTTTTTGTAAATGTTTTCCAGTTTTTGCTAGCAAGTGGTGGTGTGGACTTTCACCCTCATTCACATGACATGGATTACAACACTCATTCCCATCCCATCTTATTCATAGCTTTGAGATCCCAGAGGAGAAAGCTCCTCTCTGTGGAGAGAGATGTGGGTAGTTTGATTTCTTCTTTCTGATGCTTTAGTGGAAGTGAAGCTCAGTCATATTACGTTGTTGAGTGCCAGGAGCCATGCTGTTGACCCCTCCTCCGTAGCTAAAGGCTCTTCACTGGAAGAGGTGGAGCTTGAACTCCTGAGCTCCTGTAAACCCTTTTCTGTTGGGAAGTACCTCTCAGCTCAGCCGCAGACAGGAAACAGCATATTATTACAGTCAGTGCCTGCCTCTCCACTTCACTGCCGTCAGAAGGAAACTCATCCCAGCTCCTCCTTAAGCAGACAGCTAATCAGCTTGTGGCAAGTGGAACATAGCTCAGAAAGACTGACCACAGCGGGAACTAATCCTATTAATCGCATGTCAAGTAATCTGTTTAGGTTTTTTTCTGAGGGAGTAGGCTGCTCTGGACACTAGTTTAGAGGAAGATTGAACGTGAAAGGTAAGAGCAGGGGTCCAAGCTTTCTGGACTGAGCATTGAGAAACATGGCACCTGTGCCGGCATAACAGATCATCAGGAGCTCAGGTTCTTTGGAGTAAGTTTGCTACAAGCTCTTACTGTTCAGGTGTTCTCTCCTGTGTGGATTTATGTAGATAAGTTATCCAGAATCGGGCTAAAGGGAAATGTGCCTGCGATGCTGTTAGAAATGCTGCACCCATGAGTTAAGAAATACTGTTTATTAACTGATGATTCACTCTAACC